ACAGATTTTTGCTTGTTTTGTTCAGTCACCTCAGCACCTTGGACAGTGCCTGGCACATAGTAGGTGATCTCTATCTATTTTATTTACTTATCTATTTACTTATGTGGAGAAATTTCAGGAGTTCTGGTCCTATGCCAGCCATAGWACTGGTTCTGTCTCTCATGCTGGGGATGGAACCAGCGTCTCACACGCAGTAGGGAAGCATGTTCCACTGATCTGCACCCCCAGCTCTGGCTTATCTCATTCTGATAATCAYAAGTCAAATCTCTAAGGTAAGAATTATGATTGTCTTTCCATTTTACAGGTAAAGAAACTGAAGAGGCTAAGTAACTCTTAAGGTGTCAAAACTGGACCCTTTCTCAGGTGATCTAACTCCAGAGCTTGTTCTCTGGAAGAGGATGTTATGAGCCAGGTCTGGTGCCAGACAATGGAGCACAGAGATGAAGAAAATACAACCCCTGTCCTCAGAAAGTCTCTAATGCACCAGGTGCAGTGGTGCACGCCTGTACTCCCAGCAGCTCTGCAAACTGAGGCAGGAGGAGCACAAGTTCAAAGCCAGCCTCAGCCAYTTAGCAAGGCCCTAAGCAACTCAGYGAGACCCTGTCTCAAAATTAACAATTTTATAAAAGAGGGGCTGGGATGAAGCTCAGTGGTTAAGTGCTGCTGAGTTCAATCACTGGTACCAAAAATAAATAAATAAGAGTGCCCTGGAAGAAAGAGGGAAGTCAGCAGGCAGTTATGAGTCATGCAGGGGACCTGCATCCAACCCTGGAAATCAAAGGAGACTTCTCAGAAGAGAGAGCATCTGAGTCAAGCTCTCAGGGGTCAGTATTGATGAGTAGTGGAAGGTGCTAGGCTTGGAAGAGCAGCATGTGCCAAGTTCCAGGTGAAACAGAGCTGGAAGCTGAGCAGAGGGCAGAGTGGGGGTGGCAGGCAGGAGAGAGCACAGATGCAGCTTGGGTGTTGGCACAGAAGGGGTAAATCCTGGCAGACCCTCTAGGTTGGACAAAGGAGTATGGACCCATCCAGAAAACAGGAAGGGGCCCTGTGGTTTTCAAGCTTTCTGGCCTCACTCCTGGGTGCCAAGAGGACAAGGAGGACAATCTGAGGAGTCCTCCTCTATTGCTATCTTCCACAGTGCAGGACACAATCAATGTGCCATCCTCAGCTGTGGCCCTGMGAACGTGCTGTTCATTACTCCGGCTTCTGCTCCTTTAAAAGCACCTGCCTGTCCTGGTGGTCATGGGAATGGACTAGAGCAGCCATACCTCCACCTGGTCCTGCCACAGTGCAACCAGATGGGGGCAYTGCTGTGCAGCCACCTGCTTCCCATGAGAATGAGAGTGCTACTGGACAGCGAGCTGCAGGTAAAGTACAGTTTCCGGTTCACCTGCTGCTCTGTGGGACATGTTGGCACTGACCATCTGTGGCATAAACAGGGTGTTGGATTGGGCCACTCCTAGTGTAAGAAACTGATACAGTCAGCAATCCAGGAAGTCCCTGGGACTGTCGGTCTCCTTCCCTCTGTCCTGCCGGTCCTTCCTCCATAGATATACTGTATCCAGGTGGCTCAGGTATTTGCTTTCCACCTGTTCTCCAGTCCAGCATCCCCCCTRCAGGAACAGGGAGTAGGCTGTCCAGGTCTAAAAGAAATTCTGATTGTTCTGCATGTGTGGCAGACCTTGGCAGACAGCCCAGCCCACTGCCAGGGCCACATCATGGTCATCCTACAGAGTCCCAATGAGGCTATGCAATTCGATGCTTCCTGTGGCTATATGAGCTGCAGGCAGTGGAGCTCAGCAGTACTGGGGCATTGCTCAAAAGCTGCACCTAGAAACTGCAAGTTAGATCTGGGCTTCATCATTCCATTCTTTTCAACCACATAAAGTCATCGCGATGGGTTCTAGAAGGTGGGGCTAGAGCCCGGGAGGTTACRTAAATCCCACTTTTGAACTTCCCTAAATCTGACAACTCTCTCCCTGACCTGGCAGAGTGTCATCAGTAGGAAGTGGGAGACTGGAGAAGCCACTTCTACCTCTAGCCCCAGGCCATCCCTCCTCAGTGCAGCCTACGCCTTTCTCACACTCAAGGGCAGCTGCCAGAGATGCGCAGGCGAAGCAGCCCAGGGCCAGCAGCCTCCAACCAAGGCCCCCTGCAGCCCACCTCACCTTGCCAGCGTTCGGGGGCGGCTGCCTGTAGCGGGCCTGGCTCTGTCAGGCCCTCCGCAGCTTCAAGTGGCCAAACGCCTGAATTTTCATTTTGACATCTGAAGGAGATACTGAATTAATAACTTTGTTCATTCTTTGTTTTTTAAAATTTTAAATTGTTATAGATGACAACAGGATGCATTACAATTCATATTACACATATAGAGCACATTTTTTCATATCTCTGGTTGTACACAAGTAGAGTCACATCCTTCATGTCTTCATACACGTACTTAGGGTAATGATGACTATAGCATGCCACCGTCTTTCCTACCCCTGTGCCCCCTTCCATCCCCTCTCTCCCCTTTCCCCTTTGCTCTATCTAGAGTTCACTGAATCCTCCTATCCCCCCCCCACTCCCGGCATATTATGGATCAGCATCCTTAAATAATGACAAATGCAACAATGAAAACTTGACAGTCTGGGGCTGGACCCTACCTGGACCGAACCACWTGGGTCTGTGGGTCATGTCTGCGGCCATGAGCTCTCCAGCTCCTCTGTACTAGGAGTCCCTGCCCTAGCTGCTAATGATGTCACTTATGCCCCAAGTGACAATCAGTTACCCGCAGACACTACTTCCCCTCTCTGTCAGAGGCAACTCGCGCCTCCCTGTCTGTGCATGGAGTCCAGGTGCAAAGGAAGAAACTGCTCCGAGCTTTTCTCGGCTGCTTTCTTGTCTGCAGACCACACTGTGGTTAGAAGCCTTTCCCTCCTCCACTACCCTCCGAAGATCACTGAGAGCAAGCCAGGACTCTCCCTTGTAAGGCTCAGCACTCCAAGGTGGTCCTTGTCACCTCTGCCAGTCTAGGGACCTTGCCAAGACAGGTAGGAGCTGGGTCTGATATGACCTGCACTTTGTCCCCACACCCCGTGGCTGGGGATCCTGAGCTTCCTCCATGGAGAGGCACCCTCTTCTCTCCCCTGCATGGTCCAAAGCGAACTGTTCCTGACTGCAACGACAAGCAGAATTTAGAAGAGAGCCCTGCTTTCTTGCCACCACTCCTCAGTCTTATACCTCCAAGGGTTTGTATCATCCACCACAGCTTGGCRTCTTATCAGATATAATATATACACATATATAGATCACCAAAAATGATATATATGATCATATATTATATGATACATAAAGATCACCAAAAAATATATTATATTATAGATACATACATATGTATCATATAAAATACATATAGATGCATATGTATTTACAATATATATAGAATATATATATATATATATATATATGCTTTTTGGTGATATATTCAGCGCTTTGGCAAGGTTCATGTTAACGTTTAGATTTCCTGATATTATCTTTACAAATCTTGCCTTGGGACATTCTTCATTCCCATTCATTTATTCACCCAGTACTTGTTGAGCATCTGCTATTTTGCCAAGCAGACTCTGGGAAATCACTGGGAATGAGACAGCTAAAGGTTAGATAAGGTCCTTGACCCAGTGGAGAGGACATTCTACTGGAGAAAAGGCTACGCCAGTGACTGAACTGAAGACATTATAACAGGACAAGGTGACAGAGAGGATGCTGAGAAGCCAGTTGCTCACTAAGATGATCAGGAGAGGTGCCTATTGAGAGAGATCATTTAATAAGGGTTGAAATTCAAATAAAGAGAAAAARGCAGCCATGCATAGAGGAAGAGTCTTTCTGGCAGAGAGGAAGCAAAGGTGTAGTCTCAGAGGTAGGAAGGAACCCGGTTTGGGGAAGAATCAGAAAGGTCAGTTGGCTGGATTCCCTGAACTTGAAGCAGAGATGAAGTCAGAGGAGGTATCAGATCCTGCTGGGTTTGWAGGTCAGGATGGGGACTGGTTCTTGCTCTCAGAAATAGGGAGGAGGGCTTTAAGTAGGGGACTCACTGTGATTGCGTCTGAGCTCAGTGCCCTTTTCAATCTCGACTCCCTTGTGGGTACTGTATGGAGTTATTGGCTTCTGGAAGGTGTCCCCACTTCCTTCCTCAGAAGAGCATTTGCACAATCTGAATTGCACGGCCAGAGCTTCCCCTGTCACTCAGGACCCAGGGGCAGAGGTTTACCCTGCCTTCTGTTGCCAGGAACCTGGCCATGGTCCACTCCTTTCCCCATCTCCTCCTGGGGCTCAGTCTCTGCATCTCTGAAGTGGGTGGGTGGACCCAATGCTGCAGGATGGCCTGTCCAGGTCCATCAGTCCAGCCTTGGATTCTGATTGGAAGGGGATGAAGCAGAAGTGAAATCCTGTTGAGAAACGAAAGTGAAAGACAGAAAGTAGCCCTCCAGACTCCSAGGAGGCTAGCGGAGGTGGGGTGAGGGTCATAGGCAGAGGAGATTTTTAGAAAGCAGGGTGGGCAGGGGCCTTGTGACCCAAGCTTTCATTTCTCCTAAATACCATGTGACAAACGCAGCTAGCTGCTGAGAGAAARGGGAAGGAGGGAAGCCCAGAATTTCTTAAGAAGCAGAGAGGGTGACAGAGGCTGAGCTGGAGGGAGAGTCAGAAGGGACTGGGAGAGGAGGGGAGGCAGTCTGGGGACAAGAGCGTGGAGGAGCCCACAGGGGCGGCTGGGCCGGTGGGAGGGCAGTGAGGCCCAGGTGTCATAGGGGGAGGGGACCACAGTTAAGAAAGAGCAGCCAACCGGGGAGACCAGCAGGAAAGAGGGGGAGGGGCAGCGAGGTGGAGAGGAAGGGCTGAAAGGAAGGGGAGACCGGGTCAGGGTGCAGGAAGGAGAGGACAGGGCCCAGGGAGGCCCCTGGGGAGGAGAGCAGAGCGAGGAGGAGCTGGGAGTGGGAAGGGGAGAAGGGAGGAGGAGGTGGAGGAGTGATCGGAGAGGTAGAGAGGAAGACAGGACGGGGGAAGTGGGGTTAGAGGGCTAGAAAGGAGGGCGAGGCCCGGGGCCCAGGAGCGGCGCCCAGGATGCCCGGGCCGCGCGCCACGGAGCAGCCCCACATCCTCGGGGAGCGCCGGCCGCTGCTAGCGCGCGGCGCGCGGGGTCCCCGACGGTGGCGGCGGGCGGCGACGACAGCGGTGCTGCTGGTGGCGATGCTGGAGCGCGCCGCTTTCTTCGGCGTCGCCGCCAACCTCGTGCTGTACCTCAACAGCTGGAACTTCAACTGGGCGGGCGAGCAGGCGTCGCTGGCCGCGCTCGTCTTCCTGGGCGCCTCCTATCTGCTGGCGCCCGTGGGGGGCTGGCTGGCGGACGTGTACCTGGGCCGCCACCGCGTCGTCACCATCAGCCTGCTGCTCTACCTGGCCGCCTCGTGCCTGCTGCTCGCCACCTCCATCCCAGATGGCCGCAGCTCCTTCTGCGGAGAGATGCCCGAGTGGCCGCTGGGACCCTCCTGCCCCTCTTCCGACTGCCATCATGCCCTGCCCAGCCCCTACTGCGCGCCCACCCTCTACGCCACACTGCTGCTGCTCGCCCTGGCTGCCAGCTCCGTGAGAAGCAGCCTCACCTCTTTCGGGGGAGACCAGGTGAGTGGCAGGAAGGCCCACCAACGGGAAGCCCAGGGRATTGAAGAATAGCAACTCCGTGGGGGCTGAGACCGTAGCCAGGAGGCTAGTGTGACCTCAGACGGACCACTTCTCCTTTCTGGTCCAGCTTCCTTATTTGAAAGAAGAGGGGATGCTGGCCCTGGAAGATCAATGACAACAACAGGAATGACCACAGTTGGCCTTCTTTGAGCCATGTCCCAGGCACCAAACTAAACGCTTTCAATGTTTTAACTCACCCCTCTTAACTACCCAGGAGGTAGGTAGTATTATCATGCCCATTTTACAGATAAGGACTCTGAGACCTCAGGGTTTAATCAGCTTATGAAAGATGACATAAAGAGCAGGTCAAGAAGCAGGACATGGGCAGCTGGACCTCAGGCCCCACTGTGAGCCCCATCTCTGTGTTCTAGGGATCTGGGTGCTGGGGCAGGGACCAGCCTGGCTTTTCCCGTCAACAGTGGCAGGGACTGTCAGGCTGACTTGTTCAGATCCCGGCTCTGCCCCTCAGCAGCAGGGGACAGTTGGGCATGTATCTCCACCTCTGAGCCTTTCTTCATTCTTCCTTGGACAGAGTGTGGCGTGTAAGAGAAATTCGATAACTATTTGCTAAATGAGTAAGTGCTTTAAAACATGGCCATATTTTGGTAGCTCTGCTCAGTAGGACCTGAGACCATAATTCGAACTAATGTGGGGTATTGTTAAAACGACACGTACAGTGTGAACGAGCAGGGGCAGCAYGCAGAGCCACAGAGACAGACTGCGAACAGCCACGTGAAAACACCAGGTGTCAGCCATGGGGGGACCTGGAAACGGATTTCAACAGCAGTGTGACCAGGCCACTGGGCTAATTGTGCTCCCCACCCCCCTTGACTCTAGTGTTTCAAGTATTCTTTAATTGCATTTACAAAGGGGACATTTTATCCAGCTGGCATCCACAATCCAGCGCCCAGCACCATGTCTGGTGTCCTTGCGAAGGAGTCACTTGTACAACCCATTTAGATTCCTTTGATGATGGGACACTTGGTGCCCTCTGGGTGTCCCTGTCCCTCTCCCCCTTCTTCAGACTCAAAGCCCCAACACCTGTGAATAAGAACTTCCCATCTTCCCTTAATTCTGCTCTTTTGTTGACATCCCACTACCCACCTACCCCCAGCTACCCTTAACCCATTCCCTGGCCCCTTGACCTCCAAAGACCTCAGACATCCAGTGCCTTTTGTCTCCTTTATCCTAGTGGCAGAATTGGTCCCCCAGGGGCCAGGCCACTGAATAGAGTCTCCCATGGCATCCACAGGGACAGTGATTCCTGTGCATCCCCATACTTACTGAGCATGAACTTTGAGCAGAAGGAGGCTGGACTGGAAGGCTGGCATAGAACTAAGACCCGAACCCAAGACAGGGCAGAAACACTGGTGAGGAGAGGATGGACATCACTGGATTACAAATGGTTCTGCCTGAATGGATGGGCTGACAGGAGTGGGTGCAACGGAGCACTGAGGAGGCAGCTTCAGGATTCAGGGGAAYAGTCAGTCAGGAGACCTGGGGTGGGAAGGGCTGGCACCATCTGGCAGACAGCTATACCCAGGAGCTGCAATGAACACACTTGCTGACTTCAGAAAGGGCCATCCATCATTCTCGACAAACTGTCTGCTCCTTCTGGAAGAACTCACTTATATCCTGAATGGGCTGCCTGGTCTTCCCCTTAGAGTTACAATTGTCATATTCATTTATTTCCAATTAATAAATGGAAGTGGCTGCTCATAATGGGACTTACTCAATTTTCCACTTGAAAGTCCAGAGCAAAGATTCTAATGAGTTATCTTGTCCCTCCCTCCCCATCACTAGGAAGTCCCCTTGGAATCTCCAGAGAAATGCAATTTTAAGCATATCTGTATGGATTATAATTCTGCATTTAGACAGGGAGCAAAATATTTATCTTTTTCCCACTGCAAGTACAGAAAGTATAGCTTGACACAATCTTCTTAGCTAGTAGAAATATGTGTCCCCTGGGTAGAAGGACAGTACAGGATTCTGAGACTAGGGTGGTGGTGTTTGAATGGGTGGGTGGTTTAACAAAGTGGAGAATCATTTATCCTGAGAAATGACCCCAGTCTTCACTGTTTTTGAGAAATGCAGTTGACCAGGCCACGTCCCAGACCAGCTGAATCAGAATCTGGCACCAGGTTCTAGCAGGTAGGACAGGACAGCCAGTGTCACTGAACCAAGCCAGCAGACCCGAAGCAGGCCTGTCCTGTGCCTAACTGTTGCAGATTGATCTAAATCTGCATAGATTTGGATTTCCTGCCCACCCACCCTTGCTTGTGGGCCTGAAAAAAATTATTTTTACCGGGTCAGAACCTGCTCTTGGGGCCATGTCCAAAGACCCCCTCCACCTTCCCTGATTATACCAACCTTGTTTGATTGGATATAAAACAGAGGCTAGTTGGGCACAGGGATGGGCCACAAAACAGTCTCTGCACCTCCAAAGTGATGAAGAAATTCTCATTTTTTTGAATTATTCTTTTAGTATTATGCATACATCATATTTAACCGTGTGGAACACAACTGAGATCTTTATTGGCTTTTTTCTGATCATAAAAGTAACGCATAGCGTAGGTTTCTCAGTCAAAGACAAAGGGATAAATTAACCAAAAGTGAATGAAGTGACATCTGTTGGGTGCACTACTTAGTGACAATAAAAAAAGCAATGTGTGTCATGGGCATGTAAAAACAGCTGTGCCAAAATGTTCCGATCAAACAAGTGGCTCCCAAAAGAAAGATTTACTCACTGTTTCAACAAATATTTAATTGAGCATGAGTGTAGTGATCAGAGATTAGGAAGTGCCCACCCACTGACCCAGGAAGTGCCCCTGGGGGAGAGAGGGGCACAGGGACAGACCCCTGGACCTCCCTGACCCCACTCTTACCCCTGGCTGGCTGGCAGGTGATGGATCTTGGCCGCGATGCCACCCGCCGCTTCTTCAACTGGCTTTATTGGAGCATCAACCTGGGGGCCGTGTTCTCGCTGCTGGTTGGGTCCTTCATCCAGCAGAACATCAGCTTCACGGCGGGCTACAGCATCCCCGTGGGCTGTGTGGGCCTGGCCTTCTTCGTCTTCCTCTTTGCCTCCCCTGTCTTTATCTCCAAGCCCCCCACGGGCAGCCAAGTATCCTCCATGCTTAAGCTTGCTCTCCAGAACTGCTGCCCCTGGCTGTGGCACCGACATGCTGCCAGGTAAGAAGGGACGTCTGGGAAAGGAGGTCCCCTTCTGGGGCGGTGTGGCCTAACTGACAGACATTCTGGTTCAGGTCCAGCAAACGGCCTTTTATGATGACCTTCTCCCTGCAGGGGGCCAGAGCTACCCACCATGACTGAGGCTGGCAGTGAAGGTCAAGGTGGTGGTGGTGACAGTGGTATGATCGGTGACCTTCTAACTGGGGAACCTGTGAGGACGCTCATGGTCTTGACAGTGTGATGTTGGTGATGCAGGTGGGGACAAGGGTGTTGGTCCCTGCGGCGAAGACAACACTGGCAACGCTGCCCAGTTATTAAGTCTAACCAACTTAAATCAGCCAACCTCGCCCCTGACCCCCCATTGGCTGACATCCAAGGGCTTTGCACATGCCCAGTGGCTTCCTTTTGCCCTCTCCTTCCTACCTTAATTGACTGCGTATGCTAAGCACATGGATGTGCAGACCTCGGAGCCCGTTACAGCTCCTGTCAGTGAGAACTAGAYGGAAAAGTCAAGAGCTTGTCCCCCGCAGCCTGTTGTACTGCTAGAGGTTCTGTGACTGTAGTCACCAGGTGCCAAGAGTCTGGTTGTCTGATTATCTGTCGTTGCCTAACGAACCACCTCACAGCTCACTGGCCTAAACAACAACCTTTTCACCCCCTCTCATAATTCTGTGGGTGACCGAGCTCCAGAGGGGAGTTTGACGTCACCAGGGCCACAGTCATTTGGGGACTTGAAAGGGCTCATCCAAGATGACTCATTTATGTGGCTGGCAGTTGATGATGACTGTGGGCTGGGAACTCAGCTGGGACTGCCACTGGAGCTTCAGTTCCCCTTCATGTGGCCCCGTCTTGTGGCTTGAGCTCCGCAGCGCMTGGGGGTCCAGGTTGCAAGAGGGAGTATTCCAAGAATGAATGCTCCAGAGGGCAGGAAGTGGACGCTCTGGGGTCTTCCTAAGGCCCTRGAGGGTTTGGCTGTCCCAGAGCATCACTCTGCCTTGCTCTGTTGGTCAAAGTGTCACAGGCTGGCCTGGAATCAGTGGCAGGGGACAGAACCAGCTGTTGGAGGAGTGGCATTGCATTACTGATATGCATCTCCACTTTTGGAGACAATCACACTGGTAGTGTCCCCTTGGGAATCTCAAAGGATGCTATAAGACTTTGGGGCAAGAAGAAATCAGAAATTCTCAGGACAAAGGGGAAAGGGCAAAGGGTACAGGGTGTGGATCTATCCAGACGACTCAGGATGCTCCCTCACTCTTGCCTCTCTACTCCCACCCTTGTCACGTAGGATGGGATATTAAGTCCCCCTTGAGCCCATTCTTGAGAATGGACCTGGGGGATGGCAACAGGGGAATTTGGGTGTCAAATCCATGACAGCCACTGAGTCTTGGGACTTCCCTGGTTCCCATGACAAATCAATGCTGTGAGCCAGAAAGTCCCTTAAGAGTCTGCTTGCCACACCTCTGGCCCCAAAGGGGCCACAGATGGAGAGTGACATGATGGGCCACCTTCGCTACTAAAGAGACAATAGTGGTAATATTAACAGTGGTGGTGCCAACACTGCAAACAAGTGACAGTGATAGAAATGAAACCTGGGTGGAGAGATGGTTTCAGTGGCAGTGATGATGGTAAGGACACTGGTCTTGTGCTGGTGGTGAAGAYGATGTCCACAGTGGAGTGGAGGGGTGAGGGGGTGACCGCTGAGGTGACGGCTGTGGTGAGTGGTGATCTTAGGTGGTTAGGGAATAATGGAGGAGGTGAAAGCGGTGGCCATGGTAATGAGAATGATGATGGCTGCCATTTTACCTTCTGTCCTTGTGGCCCACAGAGATGCTCCAGGTGCCCACCTGCTKCCTGACCACAGATATCCCCAGCCTGGTCCTTCTCATGAAGAGGACATTGCCAACTTTCAGGTGCTGATGAAGATCTTGCCCGTCATGGTGACCCTGGTGCCCTACTGGATGGTGTACTTCCAGGTGGGCACCCCTGCCTTTTGATCTGGGGCCCTGACTCCCCAGGTCCTCATTAGTCATCTTAGGAGCCCAGGGCCTGCAGGAAGGGCCAGAGCAAAATGAGTTGCTGCTATGCACCAGCTGCTGTGGACCGGATACGGTACCATCCCAGTGATTAAAGCCCCACCCCAGGTGATTGCAGGAGGCCCAGCTCCTTGACTCAGATGCCCCACCCCTCTGGGCTCCAGTGCCCGACTTGTGCCCTGGACGGCTCAGACCAGCAGCTCTTTAGCTCCGTGCATTCAGATCTCCAACTGTGCATGGGTGGCAGGGAGGGTGTGTTGGTGGCCAAGGCCCCACTGCAGGTTGGGGGTAGGCTCGGGAGTGAAGCACACGACCACTGTGGTTCCTAGTTGCCTAGTTGCACCCTAGAATCTCCTGCAGAGCTTTTTAAAAAGCACAGATTCCCAAGCCCCACCCCAGACTACAGAATTGTGTGTGGGGGGGAGTACCTTGTTTAATAAGCTTCTCCGATGGTGTGGGGATCAGATTTGAGAGCTGCTGCCTCCCAACCATCATGCTGCTTCCAAGGGTGTRTGTGTGTGTTTGGACAGCAGCCTAACCAGCCCCTGATCCCCAGACCATAGGGTCGTTGCCCCCATAGCCTCTTCATTGGAACCCATAAGACAGGGTCATGCAAGTCCAGCCTGCTACTTAGGGGAGGCACAGAGAGTGTCCATGATGAGATCAGGGACACGGGGAGGGTGTCCATGGCCATTTTCCGTCATACCAGTTGTCCTATTGGTTAGTAATCAGCTGCTACCCTGAGCACCCTGAGCCCTCCCCTGCACCTGCCCCTCCTGGGGAGTCCCCTGGACCTCTTGGTTCCTAGCAGCTAGAGACAATGCCTGGTGTGGCAGGAGGCGGGGTGCTGGGCCGCTCCTGCAGCTATGTCCATCGCCATTCTGGGGTCGGCAGTGCCGATGCAGTTCCTGTGCACGTTAACCTGCGGGACTCTGCTTGCCTTCAGTGCCAGAGGAGAACCTGCTGAGGGGTCAACCATGTCATTATCCTCCCCATTTCAACAAACATTATCCAGCCCCACTCTGGGCTGCTCCCTGGAGACACAACTCTGAGCAGGACCAGTTGTTCCCTGGCTTGGGGATAAGGCTGCCAGCACTGGACTGGCCAGAGAACCTGGCTCTCAAGAAGGAAGGGATGGGTGTGACCTTCTCCCCGATGCTGGGAGAGCGGACAGCTGCTCAGCTGCCCTGTGCTGCTGCAGAGGAATGGCCTCCCTGGGAGCACCTGGGAGCCCATGGGGCTGGAGCCAGGAGCTCCACACCAGCGTCCCCTTGGCCTCTCTTGACAGATGCAGTCCACCTACGTCCTGCAAGGCCTCCACCTCCACATCCCCAACATATTCCCAGCCCACCCTGCCAACAGCTCCCCGGYTCTGAGCAGCAGCAGCAGCRGCGGCTACAGGGTGAGGCAAAGCGCGTGTTCAGCCTCCGGTTCAGGCAGCAGGAGAGGCCTCTASAAGGGAAAGGAAGCCCCTTAACCCTCCCCTCCTCCAGCTGCAGGGCGCCCTCTGGATACAGGGGAAGCACCTGGAGGGTGGGTGGCCCTGTGCCACAGCCCAGGCATCCTGCTCCGGTCAGCTTCACTGCTCCATGCTGTGGCTCTGAAGCAGGCCTCACTGTCCCTRTCACACCCTCAGACGGAGCCCAGATAGGTCTCCCTGCAACTCTGCCCTGTTCCCTCTGTCTCTGGGACCCTGGGACACCTGGGCCTCTGCCTTCCACCAGAACTTCCTAAGTCAGTTCCTTGGCATTGCAGAGACTCAAAGTCAAAGGTTTTCAGAGCTGGCAGATAAATGACATATTTGTCATTATACTCCCTTTCCTCGACTGTGGCAGACATCACTAATCAATCGTGACGTGTTTTCCTGAGGAGCCCATGAATGTGCTAAGCAGCCACTACCAATTGATAGGATACAGGAGGAACCTATTTGCCATCCCTGATCTGATCCRCCCCCTAGTTACACAGCTGAGGAGTTTGAGGTCTGGAGGGGGCAGGGGGCTGGTCCTGGGTTACTCAGGGACCTTCTGAAGCTGAGGTCTGAGGAGTCCAGCCCGGAGTCCTTCTGCGCTGCTAGCCTGCCCCTCATGGCTKCCTCCTGCCCAGTTCCCAGAAGCCTGGCTCCTGCTGGCCAACGTGGTGGTGGTGCTGATTCTCGTCCCTCTCAAGGATCACTTGATTGACCCTTTCCTGCTGCGGCGGGGGCTGCTTCCCTCAGCTCTGCAGAAAATGGCTCTGGGGATGTTCTTTGGTTTTACCTCCGTCATTGTAGCAGGTATGTGGAGGGGCATGGGGCTGAGATCCAGCCTTTKTCTGTCTGAGGTGAGGGTGGAGGGGCTGCCCCACCATGCTGAAGCTGTGGCCCAGGCCACATGCCCCCCAACACACCCACACAYAGGTGTCCGCCGTAGCCTCCCAGGAGGTCAAGCTAAAAGAGACCCTGCTCATTGAATCTGCCTCTCTGATTTTGACAGATGAGTAAACTCAGGCAGAGAGAAGAGCGACTATTTCCCCAGTGGGATATAGGCTCCTTGAAGGATGATGATGATGATGCTCCTCCTCCTCCTCCCCACTCCTCCTTTTCTTCCTCCCTCTCTTCTCCTGCTCCCCCTCCCTCTCCTCCTCCTCCTCCTTTTTTCCACTTCTCTGGATAATGCACAGGGTCTAGTGGTGCATACCTGCAACCCCAGCAACTCAGGAGGCTGAGGCAAAGGATCACAAGTTCAAGGAGACCAGCCTTGGCAACTTAGCAAGACTGTCTCAAAATCAAAATCAAAAGGGCTGTGGATATAGCTTAGTGTGTACAGTGCCCCTGTGTTCAATCCCCAGTGCTGCAAAAAAAAAAAAAAAGAAAGAAAGGGTGGGGTGGAGAGGGGGTTGAGTAGATTTTTCAAAGATGCACTCACTGCCTCTTGGCAACAAATCAGGACTTAAAAAAAAAAAAAGAAATCCTCTTCCTTCTTCTATTTCAAAACCATTTGAAGCCTGTGTGTGTGTGTGTGTGTGTGTGTGTGTGTGTGTGTGTAAAATGCTAGGCTGGGACAGCACTTGCCTACCAGACATGTGAGATCCTGGGTTTGATCCCCAACACCTAAAAAATCAACCAACCAATCAATAAAATGTAAAAATAAACCTAAAAGGGCTCAGGTAAGGAAGGCTTCATGCTGTTGCTCAACCCGAAGCCTTTCACCTAGGAGCTCTGTGATCCTGAAGTTGCATCACATCTCCAAGCTGCACCTTCTAAGCAGGGATAGGAATGCATTCAGACCTGGAGGGGGCCAGGCTCTGCCTTCATAGTCCGGTGTGGTGAGGATCAGAGGCGATGGAGTCTGCGTAGCACCTATAATGTGACTGAAGAAACTGAAGCTCAATAAACAGTATTATGTTGAAAATATGAAAATCAAGCTAAATTCATTTTTGGCTATGTGCTTTAATGCTTTCTCTCCTATTCCATCCTCCTAGTGACCCTGGGAATTTTACTCCTGCTTCTTACACACAAGGGAACTGAGTCTCAGAGAGGTTAAGTGACTTGTCGAAGGTCATATAGCAAGTCAGTGGCAGGGCCAGGATTGGAACCCATGTCCCCTAACTCCTTGTTCAGTGTTTGTTCCACTAGAGCACAGTTGTCTTCCAGGCAAGGAAGAGAAAGAGATTAAACAAACTTAAAAGCCAGGTTTGAAACACTCCCATAATACTTAACACTGCAATCCAGAAGTCATGTGACACTGTGAAAAGTAGGCCAGCTTTGAAACCAGATATACTGGAGCTCAGATCCAACCCTGATTACTTATCAGCTGTGTTATTCTGGGCTGGTTGCTCAACCCAGGTTTCACTTTCTTCATTTGCAAGAATGCCATCCCAGGCTCTTGATAAGCGAGAGTAATTGCTGCCAAGTACAAATCTAGCTCTGAGCTTCCCGTCAGCCAAGGCAAAAAGAGGAGTYCAAACTCACATCTTCCTCATCCTCCAGGCCAGTCAACCAATCACTGGTTATGTAATAGCACCCATCACACACTGAAGTCTGCTGTGGGTGGGCTTGGGGTGGGCCTGGCTGGACTCTCCTTCTGCTCCCCMACCAGGAGTCCTTGAGATGGAGCGCTTACAGTACATCTCCCACAATGAGACGGTGTCCCAGGTGATTGGAAAGGACCTGTACTACGCAGCCCCACTGTCCATCTGGTGGCAGATCCCTCAGTACCTGCTCATTGGGATCAGTGAGATTTTTGCCAGCATCTCAGGTACCTGGGTCCCCTCCCCTGCCCTGCACYTGTGCTGGGCTCTTCCCTTGGATGCTTCCAGGCTGGGGCCCTTGGACATAGCCCCAGGACTTGCACACTGAGGAAGGCAGTGGCTTGGAGCCAGCCACTGTGATGGGTCCTGGGAATTTGGAGGTGAAAAGGCACTTCCCACACCCACTTTCCACATGTCCCCAGGGCCATGTCCCCCACCTTCTGGGTCTGCAGTTGTTATCCCCCCTGCCTTGGGCGGTCTCCCTTTTCCCTTTCAATTCTGAACCTCAACGTCAAAGCCCCTGAGCAGAAGGGTCCTCCCAGCCCACAGCACCCTGCCCTATTATGCGCGAATGTCTCTCTCACAAGCACTGGGCGGGGAGCTGGAGCCACAAGCCTGGGGTGGGCTCCTCTGCTAGGTGTGGGGTGGGACATAGAGATAAAGCCAACCCTGTGAGCTCACTCAGGCTGGGGTGGGGGACATTCATGAGAATCATAAACCGTGACCGTGCTGTAGAGTGGGGGAGCGGCGGGCAGCACACAGCAGGTGGGAGAAAGGACCTCACAGGCAGAGGGAATGACGAAGGTAGGGAGTCAGATGGCGCTATCTGGGGGTGCCATCCCTAAAATAGGAGGGGCAGGACAGGTGCCAGAGCTCTTGGGGCAGTGTGTGCAGCGTCCAGGGCAGGGGGTCAGCAAGGAGGTGATCAACCAGATGGTGATGAGCAGAGCAGATGGGAGGGTGGCCCGGGGGCTCCAGCACCATCACAGCCACAGGGGCTGTGGGAGGGGGCAGGTGGCCCAGCAGGTGCACAGAGCTCCTCCTCAGCCCCTCCCTGTCCTCCCCACAGGCCTGGAGTTTGCCTACTCGGAGGCCCCGCGCTCCATGCAGGGCGCCATCATGGGCATCTTCTTCTGCCTGTCCGGGGTGGGCTCCCTGTTGGGCTCCAGCCTRGTGGCACTACTGTCCTTGCCAGGGGGCTGGATGTACTGCCCTGAGGACTTTGGTAAGTATGGAGGTCTCCCCGGCAGGGGGTGGACGGAGGGGCGGGAAGGAAGCGGCGACTGCTGTGGGCTTTGATGGGAGGCAGAAKGGACCAGGGGCTGGCGCTGGGGGAAATGGGCTGTAGCCCAAACATGACCAGTCCCCCACAGCGTGGCCTCACTGTGGGCCTCGGCTTCTCCAGCTGTTCAGAAGGAAGCATTGAACTCAGTGGCCCTGCGAGGCTCCTCTGGGCTTCTGGAACTCTCTCGTTCCGGCCAGTTACTTTTCTCAGAGGGAAATTAGAGACTCCCCAGGGGACACTGAGAGAGTCAGACCTGGAGGGCTCTCTACCAGGGTCCCTGGATCGCACCCACTGCCCGCTTTACCTTAGCTGCCAGCCCGGGGGCGGGGACATGGCAGGGAGCGGATGCAAGACAAGGAGCCCTTCCTGACAAATGCCAACCCCTCCTTCCTCAGGGAACATCAACAACTGCCAGATGGATCGCTACTTCTTCCTGCTGGCTGGCATTCAGGCCGTCACGGCCACCCTGTTCATCTGGATCGCTCGTCGCTACGAGAGGGCACGACAGGGCCTATCCGTCCARAACTGTTCCAGCAGGGACAGGGGCTGAGCAGGGCCCACCAAGCCCGCACTTCTCCCCAAGGACAGACGGCGGCACAGCAGTCCCCGCGTGGCGGTTTCCTTCTCAGTTTATTCTGTACCCAACATTAGAATGAAATGGTTCCCATAAACAAGGGGCCTAAGCCCTTCCTCACAACCATGGTCCAGGACAAGGGGCAGGGAGAAGGGTGGGAGTCCTCGCAGGGGACCAGGCAGGGGACTTGGATCAACAAGCACCAGAGAAGGTGCAGGAGGGACAGGCAAGYGGCTTGGTTGGACCCCCACCCACCCCTGCTGCCTGAGCTGGTGGCTGACGTCGCTGGGCCTGGCGGGACAGAGACGGGTCAGGAGCTGCCCCGGATTCTCTCCATGTAGTTACGAAGCTCCTCGGGGTCCTTGAGCCCCATGTCCTCACACACCCAGCGGATGTCCTCCTCGCCCGCCACCAGGATGGACTGCACAGCCGGGGCCCCGACAGGCTCCTCAGGCAGCGGGGCAGGGGGCACTGGCGCAAACGTCACAAACTCTACTCGCTTCCGCCGTCCCCCAGCTTCCTTGCGGGTCAGGGTGCTCGAGGAGCTGGTGGTGCCCCCCGGAGGGCCAGGGGCCAGGGTCGGGGCCTCCCCTCCGGCCCCACTTTCACAGGGGCAGCCCCCCTCCCCCTTGGGTGGGCCAGGGGACCGCAGGTCCAGCTGGCGGCTCAGTTCCTCCTGGTCAGTGCCCAGCCAGACCCAGTTGTGAGGCTGGGGGGAGGCGGGATCAGTGGCGCTGTCTGGGGGCTCTTTGCGCTGGTATCGCAGCACGAAGACCACGCCATTGACTAGGAAGATGAGGATGGCCAGACAGAAGATTCCCAGCAGGGCGTACATGCCCAGCTCTAGGTCGGTGACCCGCTGAGGGGCAGGGACCATCTCTTCCTCCTCCTCCTCCTCCTCCCTAGCCTTGGTGTCCTCCTTTCCAGCCTCTTCCTCCACCCGCTCGAACTTGCCCCTCACAACGACGCTGCCCCCGCCACTGCCTGCTGCCTGCCGTTCACCCCCCATGCTGGCCTCTGTGGCTGGCGGGCTTCGGGCAGGGCTGGATGGGAGGGCAGGAGCTGGTGTGGGCGCAGGGGGCAGCCCCAGCCAGGCAGTGCCAGAGGCCAGGGGCACACGGTGGCGGCCGCGGCGGCAGGGCTCCGGTGGATGCAGAGCCACATGCAGGGGCAGCCCCTCTGCRCTTGCCCCACTCACCACCACCCCGAGCTGGGCACTCTGCTCCTCGGCTGGCACAACTGCACCAGGCTCCTCAGTTGAGACGGACAGGCCCAGGTCATGGCGGTCATAGAGCTCAGCGGGGGCCAATGTGTGGTCAGAAAAGGACAGCCACAGGGAGAGGGCCACCTCCTGTAGGGCACACAGACACAGGCAGAGACACGCGAGGGCAGGCACGCATGCACACAGAGACCACTCCCACAGAGACAGGCCACAYGGAGAGATCAGAGAGAACAGAGACACAGGCAGATAGACAAAACACAGGGAGAGAGGGGACGTGTGTCAATCACCTGTCTGCCACTCAGCCCCAGAGTCTCTGTCCTTGGGAGGGTCCTCAGAGCCATCTAATCAACCTCCCACGGCTACACTCCAGCCAGCCACAGCTTGATCGCTTCCAGCTGCAGAGAGCTCAGTACCTCATGGGGAAGTCAGTCCTTGTTCTGAAATCCCTAAGGTAAGGGGGTCGAGGTACCAGGGCTCTCTCCCTCCCGTCCTCCTTGGCCATGAGTCCCTGCCTGTAGGTTTTCACCTCATCCCCCTGACTCCCAGCCATCACCTGCTTTGGGGCAGGAAGTGCTGACTGTGCCCAGCATGTGGCAGTGACCTCTCCAGGGTGGGCAGTGCCACGGCTCAGGGCCAGGGAGATGCCCATCACTGGCTGCACCCGCAGCTCTAGCACCGAGACCTTGTCCTCCGTCACAGCCAGTGCCTGCTCCCCCAGGATSGAGTCAGACAGCGGGGATCGCACCTGTGGGTGGGAAGGAGCTGGAGAAGGGGGGCCTCCTACGCAGCCCCYAGCCAAAGGGATCTGATTTCCGCTTCCAGAATCCTCACAGATTGCTCTGCTCAACACCCCAACTTCTAGGCCGTATAAGTATCCAGACCCCAATCCCACACCGAGGGGACAGTGGAGACCTGGCCCCCACGGTTCTTATACCTAAAGAACTTCCATGGCACGGTCACCCCATTCTCACTCAATCCCACCGCGCTCCTGCATCGACTGCCCACCAGCTCTCCCCAGGCACAGCCGGGCGCCTCCCACACTCTTCACACCTGCTGTGTGCCTCCTCTGAACACCCACACCTTTCTGAGGGGGTCTGCTCTGCAGCATCCCTTGCCTGCTCACCTCGATGGAGGTGACACCGGGCTCCCGGCCCACTAGGATGCGGCCGCCCTCCAGCGAGGCTACACGCGGGTCCTGCACGCGGGCGTGTGGCGCCACGAGGTGAGTCACGTCCAGCAGCCAGTCGGGGCCGAGCAGGTGAGTAAGGCGGCGGCCACCGTCCAGCGGATGGGCGACGAAAGGCACCAGGAAGCGCACGCCTGCGCGCTGGTACTGCAGGCGGCAGCCGCGAGCTCGCCGCTCGGCCTCCTCCGCCACTGCAGCCTCCGACTCCGGCGCCCTGAGGGGCGGGGCGTCAGGGTGGACCCCGCCCACCGAAGACCCGCCTCCCTGCCTCCCTGGCTCCCAGCTCCTGGCTCCTAACCCGGAGCAGGCCTCTGCGCATAAAGAGGGTGTGGATGATGCCCAAGGCCCTGAGTTCGGTCCCCAGCAGAAAAAGGAAAGAAAAAAAAGGCTCCGATGGTGTGCAGCTCCGCCCCAGCCGGGTTCCTGATGGGTGCGTGTCCCTGTCTAACCAGTCGCTTTCACCTGCCTTTGGCTCCCAGTTGGAACCACGTGGAGACTAATATGTGTGGGGAACCCAGGGGCGTTCACTCTGTAAGACCTGAGAGCTGGGTTCCAGAGGGTTCTGGTGACACCTCCTCCACAGGCTATTCCATATTAGCCATCTTAGGCTTCCAAGATACAGCAGTGAACCCCGGGGGCAGAGTGTGGAAGGAGTGGCGAATCAGTCTGTCCTAGCGCAGATCAGGAAGTGATGGGCGCCACAGGGGGAAGCCAGGAAGCGAGGAGTGTGGAGGGTGGTCTGATTTCAAATAAAGTGGTCAGAGCTCAAGACTAGGGCAGGATGGGCGGAAGGAGATGCTAGTAACAAGCAGTGTTGTGTTTCGGAACCCAGCTTAGGCCCTGCACACTCGGTCTCAGCAGGATTTCACCAAGGCCAGTCGGCTTCTGCAGGCCCACACTCACCCTTCGGTCGGGCCAGGGACTCTCCAGCCGCGGATCTGCTCTAGGGTGGTGTCAGTCAGCTCAATGCGCAGGGGCAGCAAGGGGGCCCAAACTGTCAGCCGCAGGGAGGCCCGAAGCCGACGCCACCAGAAGTCCACGCGCACACCCCTGGCACCCCGGCTCTCTTTGCCAGCCACCAAGACAGCATCACAGGCCTCAGATACCTGGGGAAGGGCAGAGACAGGAAGAATAATAAACAAGTGTGGGCCAGACAGCGCATCCCTGASCCCAGACCATGAAAACAAAAGGCAATTCTGTATTTCACCCAAACGCATGTTCCTATGGACTGTTGGTTGAGCCACTGTGCTGAGTTTATGAAGATTTTGCTCTGCATCCAAGATCCATTCCTCTTGAGAGCAACTGGGCCATTCCTTGAGCTCTCTGGGGCCTCAACTGGAGAAACTGGCTATTTGGATACAACAGAGACCTGCTCCTGGCAGAGAGGGGTTTGAATTCACAGCTTTGGCCCTTGATTAGTGCTGGCCTCTGATCTTGATGCTGGAGCTACCAGGCAACCAGCTTCAGTTAGGTGGGCAGAGGTGGAAGGGTGAAGCAGTCCCACCCAAGAGAGGTTAAGAGATCTGCCTATGATCACACAGACAGTTGATAACAAAAAATGGGTCTAAAACGAAAACTTCCTGATCCCAAAGGGCATGCTCTCAGCTCTACCAGTGCAGCCCGTTACTAGTGTCTTGATGGACATAAAAGTGACTAAGGTCACATAGCTCTCACTTCACTCTAGAGAAAGGTGGTTGGGAGAAAAATCTTGAAGCCGTGGTTCCACACATGAGGTTTCTGTAAGAGCTGTTCTCTTGGGGTCCCAGTAGAGAAAGAGGTAAGTAGTGTGTGCATGTTGGTGCCGCAAAAATGTATACTCACACAGGTGGGCACCTGCCACTCACCTGCAGGACCTGCGTGTTGGCTGACTCACAGCCGATGTGCTCTGTCACCTCCACCAGGGCTCCTCCGCTGTCCACAGTGACTAGGCGCACAGGGACACGTTGGGGCGCTCCAGTCAGTGGTGCCGTATTCACCAGCTCCTCAGTCTGGGGGTGCACAAGTTGCTCAGCCCCAGGCCCCTCAGTTTCCAGAGCTCCCAGGATTGGCTCCTAGCCTTGCTGGGTACAGACAGAGGCCACCTTACCTTGGCCAGTGGGACGAGGGCTCTTATGTCCCGCTCTGACACCAGGATTTCCCAAACCATTTTGTCCTTCTCGGCTTCAGGGGCCTGGCCAGGGTACTCCAGCTGCCATGTGACGGGGCGAGTGACCGCCACACCTCCGCCAGTGCCGTTCTCCACCATAAAGTCCACCCACAGGAATTCAGACAGTTCAAGGGGGCTACTGGCCAGAAGAGAGGAACAGAGTGCTTGCTAGCTGCCAGGCACTTCCTGTACTCATGAGGCGGGCACGATGAGTATCCCTCTTTGACAGATGAGGAAACTGAGGTGGAGAAGTTATGTAACTCACCTAAGATCACATAGCAAAAAGTGGTGGGGCTGGGATCAAAGCCAAGCATCCTTGCTCTAGGCCTCTCAGGATCCATACAGCTGTTTAACCAGCTCCCAGAATGCCTGCTGCCTCCCCTGCCTTCCTGTCCCCTCCACTTGGACCTCAGCTTCCCATAGCCACTGGAGTGGTAACCAATGAGTTCCACCAAGGAGGGACTGCACTGCCAAGTCCCAGGACCAGACAGTAAACATTAAACCCTTTGCATCATAACCCTCACGGCCCTTCTGAATCAAACACCCGTGTGCCAGGAGCTGTCCTGGGTGCTTGCTATGTTATGCCGTCTTTTATTTTCACAAAACCTAGGCGATGATTATTACCCTTATTTTACAAGCAAAGAAACAGAGGCTAGGATCGGAGGATGTGAACTGGCTTATCCATGAGGTTTCTGGAAGAGCTGTTCTCTTGGGGTCCCTTTTTCTAAAAGGTGTCAGAGGCAGGATTCCAACAGGGTGTACAAAGCCCATGGCCTTGACCTAGCTAGGGTCAGGGCATGGATAAGATGTTAAGAATTCCAGCTAGGCTTTTCTTGGGAATGTTAATGGCCAAGAGAAAGGGGCCCATGTGGTGAGGTTGGAGGGTGGACAGTGGCTGAGAAGGCTGTCCCTGGATGGCAGGATAGGTTGTCTCGCAGAGAGCAGTTAGACCCGGCCTGTGGCTGGGTCTGCATGAATCCTGCCAAATGCATGAATGAACGACACTACACTGCTGCTTGTGCTGCTTCCTTATCACTTTGTTCTTGTGCCTGCTCACGTGAGGGTACGGAGGGGGCATGCAGCCCTCCTCCCTTGGGCTCCCAAGTCTACCCACTAGCACTCTACGGCTAGCTCTCCCTCTCTGCCCCTGGGGGAGGGGAACTGCCCACCTGAAGCCTGATCCTGTGGTCCCAGTGCGGTGACAGGTGATCAGCGTGGTGTGGTGCTTAGAGCCCTTGAAGCGGTCCAGCTTGGCAGTCCAGAGGGTGGGCTGAGCTGGGCGGGCAGCTGTCACATGCAGCCCCTTCTTCACCTTGATCCTGGTGAGAGGTTAGAGGTCTGGTTTGTCAAGGTGAGGGCTGAACTGACAACTGGATACAGCGGGGAAGACAAGAAGCTAAGGACATCAGCCTCCTGCCTGGTCTCCTGGCTCCAGACTTCATCTTCTCTTCGCCATCCTTCCCAGAGGAGCTCCGCGGAACGTGGGAAACCAGAACATTCTCCCCACTCTGAGATCACTTATGACTGCCATTGCCTATGGGCTCAATCTCAGCCTGGCATTCGAGCCCCTCCGGGCTCTGGTCCAGCCTCCCTGGGGCTGTGACATCCCCCCTTCACTCTCTGCTTTAGTCACCCCCAAACTTCTTCACCCCCAGGTACACAGTGCATATGAACGACTGCAGGCCTTGGCTCAGGCCGTACTTCAGCCTGCACCACCCTTTCTGGCCTCATCTGCTCACTCTTGAAAGCCTCCGGCAATTCAAATACCATTTCGTTTGGAAAGCTCTTCCAGTGGTGGATGAATTTCCCTTACTCCACCCACAACACTTCATCCTCCATCGGTGCATGAATGACACACCTGGTGCCTTCCCATCTAGTTCACACCCATCCAGCTCCCTTCCCTACCGCTGGGGCTCCTTTGGGCAAAATGGGGGTTGGGCCTGGTACCTCTTTGTACCTCCAGAGTGGAGACACAGGACAGGGCATAGTGTAATTGTTGGAGAAAGATCTGTTCGGTGAGTTGTGAGTGAGCACAGAAGGGTGTGAGAGACAGGGGGGCAGATGCATGGGGAGTTGGCAAGTCACACTCCAAGTCCATGTCAGCTGCATTTGGGGTGTGTGTGTGCGTGGGGGGCTTCTCTGGGGGAATCTCCCTGCAGAAAAGAACATAAGAAYGGGGACTTCTATAAGAAAGGGCAGGTTCTGTCCAAAGGCCAGGGCCCTGAGCAAGCCTGGCCGGCAGGGAGGCCCTACAGATGAACAGAGCTGGGCAGATACCCCTAGGGAAGCAACAGAGCACAGAGCAGCCCTAGGTGCTGTGCTTCCAGGTCCAAAGCCTTTCCTGTCTTCCCTCCATGAACCCTGGAGCTGCCCCAGAACACAGGTAACGCTGGCCTCACTGGACCAGGGGGTCTCAGGGAGGTGCCAGGGAATGGGGATGCTTCCTACTTCTAACTCCAAAATTAGGGTTGTTCCCATCACAGGAGCCTGTAGCTCTTTGCCTGAAGAGGATTTGGGGGTCCCATGTCTTGCAGAGGCCAAGGTTTCCATCAAAGGCTCCAAGAAAAGAGGCCAAGGTTTCCATCAAAGGCTCCAAGAACGGTATGTAGCCGCTCAGTGTTCCCGCAGAGGTTCCCACCCACCACCGCCCCCAGGGGCCCCCTGCTCACCGCAGAGTCAGGAGGCTGGCTGTGAAGTTGTGCCGTAGCAGGAGGGTGGTACTGAAGAGCTGGCCGGGCCGCACTGGCACATCAGGCACCCGCAGAGTCACTGCCTCATCCAGAGGCACCTCCTGGTACTGTGGAGGGTCCGCAGGGTGCAGCTCCACATCACCTACTGGGAGGGCCTGCTCCCCAGGGTCCTCCTCCCCGCCGGGGCCACAGCCCCCAGGACCCTCAGCTGCAGGCTCCAGCGTGTAGGCYAGCTGTGCCCGGGTGGTGGAGCCCTGGGAGAACCAGTGCGACGGGAACTCCAGCTCCACCACGCAGGCGCCCAGCAATGGCTGCGAAGGCAAAGTAGCTATGGTTGGCCCAGGGCAGGGTGGAGGGAAGAATCCTATCACCCGCAGCAGGAAAAAAACAGAACTGGAGGAGCCCATGGAAGGCAGGGCCAGGGATGTATCCCAGGTGACAGCAAACTAGGAACCTGCTGGAGCTGGACACCAGGTCTACGTCTCAGAACACACCCACGTGCAGGTCAGACTTCTGCTTTKGGGAACAGTCTCATTCCAAAGTGAGCCAATCCCAGTGCCCCAGGACCACCCACGGGGACCACTCTCACTAGAGACAACTCAGGTCTCTTCTCAGAATCTGAAAGCCTGAGAAGGACTTCTCTCCGCTGGGTTCCTGTTCCAGGCTCCCAAATAGCCGAGATAAAAATCACAAAAACAATAATGCAAACACATGCTGAGGGTTTCAGTGTAGCGCCTTATGAAATCGCCGTAAGTGACTCCTACATTGTCTCCTTTATTCCTTGCTCCAACTCCATAGGAAGTGGGAATTGTTACCTCATTTTATAGACGCAGAAACTAAGTCTCAGAGAGATTAAGTGACTTGCTCGAAATCACACACATGACCTGAACTCCTTAAGGAGCCCCAAATAACCCCTTCACAGGACTGAGAGCTAGTAGAAAAGGAATGGAGTCAGGTGGCCCACAACCTGCCCAGATGTGCTCAGCCTTTTCCGTTCCACCCTGGGGGCCACCTGCAGGCTGGCACAGCAAGTAGCAGGGCCAGCCTACTCACCTGGAAGCGGCATGCCCGGTGGGCAGTGCCTGCAGGGTGAGTGGCATGCAGCCTGGCACAGGGCAGGCTGCTGGGCCCCGGCGGCCAATCTTGTCCCTTTAGGTGGAAGAGGACACGCGCATGGGGCTCTGCTGGAGTCACAGCCATTTCTACTGATACAGCCCGCACGTCCCACGGGACTGGCCGATGGTGGGGCTCAGTGACCCGAGGAGGGACTACCTGGAGGAAGAATGGGAAGGTTCAACAGAGCAGGAAGCGGAGGTGGGTGAGATCTGGGATGCTGAGATGTCAGGCTTCTAATCCCACCCTGGCAGGAGAGAACCGCTACGGGGCTCAGGTTCTTCATCTGGAGCACAGGTGAGGCTGGGGAGAGCCCCTGAGCCACGCAGCAGACCTCAGACTCTGAGCCCTGTGAGCCTGGCAGTTCCTGTGGCCCCTCCTTACCTGTTGAGTGGCAAAAGGCGGGTAGGAGGCCCGGAGAAGCGGCTGAGCCCTGGGCCAGGGCTGCAGGAGCAGAAAGGTCTCAGAACGGGAGCCCAGAGAGGAGTTGGCAGGTGGATAGTGGCCAACCCGCTGCACGCGAAAGTGCTCAGGGGCATCGAGGAGCTCCAGGGCTGCTGGCAGGTAGATGGGGTCCAGAGAGTCCTGGTCACAGTCCACTAAGGAGGAATGAGGGGTAGAGATGGAGACCGCTCCAGAACCGGCAGGGGCTGAACTGAACTCTCTGGGGACACCATGGCGGTGAATGGTGGAGGAAGAAATGGGCCAAATGTCCCATGGCCCCAGGATGTGGGGGAATCTTTGCATTTCTCAGATGAGGTAACTGGAACTCCAAGACCCTCACACAGAGAGCGGGTAACAAAACCAGGGTCAAGATTCCCGACTGGATGGAGCTTTCCCGTCATTCCTTCCTCTACTGTCCACAGACCTGGACGTCCTCTCTCCATTTCCCCTTCTCGGTCTCCTCCTCCTTGTTCTTGCCCCTACCTACCTGCTTCTTCCGCCAGGGCATTTCTGGGGTATGACCCTCCCCACATGGGGCCCAGGTGGTGGACGATGGTGCCCAGGTGAGCTTGGTAAAAATAGAGACACTTTCTCTGTCCCTGGGTCCTTGGCTGGACTCAGCAATCCTGCCCGACATTGTTACCATGGCAACCCACACATCTTTCCAAGCTTGCGCCTTCTTCTCTGTCCCATCCGGGTCTGAGGGTGTAAGAGTAGGATTGGGGACAGAGAAGTGCCACAGAGGTCAGTGAAGCCATTTGTGTGCCCCAGGGGCAGGGTGGAAAGTTTGAACCCAGGGAGATGGAATATTCAATCACCAGAAGACAAAGGACCACTAAGCCCATATTTGTCTGTACTGCTAAAGAGGATGAACATTTTTTTGAACACTAACCATACACAGGTACTTTTTTTGAGCAATTTACATGAATGAGCTCTTTCAGTTTCCATAATAACTCTGTGAATCAGGTTCTGTTACTCTGAAGCTGATTTTGTGGATTTAGAAAATGAGGCAGAGAGGCTAAGATCCCCACCTATGGTCTCACAGCTGGAAACTGAGTCCAGGCTAGGCTACAGTGGTGACATCTCTGCCACCTCTGCACTCTCCACAGCAGCAGCCTGTCCTGAGGGCTTCACTACTCCTCTACTAGTGGCGCCTCCCTCCTTCAGAGCCAAAAAGCCCTCCATGGATATCTGCCTTCCCGCCAGTCTCTGCTGCAGGCCTGATGACCTCTTCTGAATTAGTTATCTTCCTGTCCTCACTTGTGGGCATTGACTTATCGTTCTGGAATTCCCCCTTCCTGGGAGCCTGCAGCCCTGACTTTAAGCCCTCACTCTGCCTCCATGACTTGGGCCAATCATTTACAGCCTGGAGCCTCAGTTTCCTGACCTATAGAATGGGTAAGAACATTTAGCGACCCTGGGGACAGGAGAGTGCTTTGTCAATTGCAGAGTGCTGTTTGGAAGTGGGATTACTGCTGGTGAATAATGGATGTGACAAAGCTTTCCTCCTCTCCCTGTCCAAGGGGTTATTAGGGCTCCCACAGGGTCCCTCAGGGAGGGAAGCAGGTGGTTGAAAGCAGCCCCAGAGCCAGCTCCCTCTGAGACCCATAGCTGGACTGGGGRTGGGGGACAGCTTCATTGGAACATTCTTCCTGGCCTTTCCCTGCAAGAGATGCTCCCCCTGCCCCCTAAGAATAACAGGTGACTATTTATTGCTCCCTGGAGGTGGCTCTCGGACTCTGGCCCACCTCCCACTCCACTGCCTCCATAATTATAAGATGCTCTGCGGCCGGACTCCCACGGACTGGCGCTTTCGGTGGGGGAAGGCGGGTAGAGCACGCTCACTGTCCCCCACTCCCCTACGGTACCCTTCACCTCGCAGTTACGGCTTCTCTGCCCAGCCCATGCCAAGCACAGTCCGACCCCCAGCCCAGGCACAGGAGAGCTGCTGTCCCTTCCCCCAATGGTGGGTACCCCCAAGAAGGCTCAGGAAGGCAAGGATGGGGCCATCCCTGGCAACTCCAAGGTCAGAGAGCTCCTTGGGGCAGGGACGGGGCGCGACATATTTCGCAGGGTTAGGTCTGTGGCAAAGGGGCTGATTTCCATTCAGGGTCGGGGGTCGGGGAGGTTCACGGTGGAGGCAGGAGACTGGGAACCACAAGTGGTGCTTCTAGGATTGCAGACGGGTGGGAGAGTGCTGGAGACCCCAGGCTTCCCGGGAAGGGGCACCGGATTAGATGCCGGGGCTGGAGGGGACGCTCCCAGATGGTGCGGGGACCAGTGGGGTGAGGACCGGGCAGGTCGCGGGTCAGGAAGGAGTTGCCGGGTGGTGTAAGGTGAAGAAAGCCACAGGGGCGGGTTCCTGGAGCAGGACCTCTCCAGCCCAGGGCACGCTGCGCGGCGACCGCGCTCTGGGGCTCGTCCGAGGACCCCAGGGTCCCCTGCTCGCGGGCATCTCCCGCGCCCGGCCTCGGCTCGGCCGCCCCTCGCCCCGCCCCGCCCCTCCCCTCCCGCTGACCTCTCACGACGTCCAGGGCGAGGGCCACCAGGAGGCAGAGCCAGGGACCGTAGGGCCCCCGGGGGGCCGCTGCCGTGCGCCCAGCCATCGGGGCGCACCTCCTGTCCACCGAAGGCGGGGACGAGGCGGCCGGCTCAGGTGGCCGCGGTCCGGCCCGGCATCTCCCGCGCCCGCTCGGCGCCGGCAGCGCTGGCCGGCTGGGTCCCTGCTGCCGCCCGCCCGCGGCTGCAGTTCCCAGACAATGGAGCGGGAGCCGCGCGGAGGGAGGGAGCCCAGCGCAGCACATGGGCTGCCCCCGCCGCCCCGCCGGGTCCTAGTGCCCCGCGGATCCCGAACCCCAGAGCGCCCCCGCGTCCGAAGTCGAGAAGGCCACTTCCCAGGAGACCGATCGCCTCTGCCAGGAGGCACAAGGTGTGTTCTCTTAGGCCCCCTCTCGGGAGCTCCTGAGGAGCTTCCTCTACCTCCGCCCACCCCGTAGGCATCTCACCTGTAAAGGCACCAGCCGGTCTCAATCAGAACCGGAATTCAGAGACATATGGGAACAGAGCTGCAGGGGCAGAAAAGGAGAGTGGGCCAAAGGGGCCAGATGACAACTACCTGGGCCCGCCCTGACAGAGCCCTGGGCCACCACCCAGGGAGGAACCCAGGCACAGGCTGCTTCAGATTCATGCCCTGCCTCACCCCAGGGAGAGTCCCAAAGGGGGAGGTCTGCCTGAGGGGTCCTGCCCAGCCTTGCCTACCGGTGGTGTTGGAATAAGTCCAGACCAGGAGGTTTGGCTGCTCATTAGCATCCCCTGGGCAGAATAAAAAGAGAACAAGCAAARCCAGACCAAAAAACATAGCTGGGTCCTCCAAACAGATTCACCTAGGGACCCAGTGAGAACCTTGCTCTAGGGACTCCTCAGTCGGGTAAGGAAGAAGGGGGCCACCCAAGTGTCCTCCRGACTTCCCAGCACACCATGAGCAAGCTGTACTTCCCCCCAGCCCACAYGCACACCATTCCAGCCCTGCTGGCCAGCTCCTGGGGGCTTTGCAAGGGGGCAAGCTCTCCTCCTGCCTCACAGCCCTGGAGGGAAAGGTACCTGGTACCAACCTGCTGTTTTTGTTTTGAAATTTTCCTCCCTTCCAAGAGCTTCTCACTGCCCCTAGAGGGAGAAGTCAAGAAAGCTGACAGSCACCACAGAAAGGGGTTTGGCAGCAGAAGGAGACATCAAAGCAATCCAGACTTTGGGTAAATACATTTTATTCAGAACAAGATAATAAAATAGCGTGCAGTTTATTTAAAACCAACCAAGCGCTGATAAAAATATATATCACTGCAGCCGTGATTCCACATCAAACCTCGATATGAGAACTGGGCGCGACTCTTCACATCATGTGCCAGGCCTAGCAGAGGACACCTACTCCACCAGGGCCTCAAAGGAAGAAGTGACCCCTCACTACCAAGAGCGAGTGTGCTGGTGGAGAGGGGTCAGCAGCCGGCCCACCCTGTCTCTGCAGAGCATGGGGAAGGGCAGACACTGACCAGCAACTGCTCCTGGTGGCAGGAGCGGAGGGGCAACAATACAGAACTTCCTGACACTGTGCAGACAAGGAAGTGGGTCCTCCTGCCTCCTCAGGGCTTCTGAAATCTCTACATCTGACAGGGTCCCACGGGTGGACACAAGTCTGTGAAGAAGCAGCCATCTCTTGCTTGGCTGAGGAGGAATCAGGATTCTGAGGGACTGCTCTCTTCTGGACACAGAGCAGTCACARCACACTCCTACCCGGTATGGCAGCGGGTGAGCAGAGGGGCCTGCTGGCTAGGATTAAGGCACTTGTAACAGACTTAGGGTCCATCATTTCCCCAGCCCCACAGGCCTCTGAGGACCCCGCTCCCCCTCCCTCTTCCCACTGCTGGGCAATGAGGACAGGAACGAGCCTCCAGGGACCGCGGTTTAGTGAGCACAGGGCTGGAGGAAGAGGAAAAGGAAGGGAGCTGGGTGCTTGGCCAAGGAGGAGCGGCGTAGGTCCAAAAGCCAGAGCTTTTTGGGGAAGCCAGGCAAAAGCAGAGGGGAGCGAGGTAAGTCACAGGGGACCAGCAGCAGCAGTGTAGGCGGAGAGCAGATGCCAAGCCAGAGGGAGGCCTCCAACCCTCCATCGGCCTGAGACAGACTAGGAGCAGAGAGAGGATTCACAGCCAAGCCTGGATAGAGAGCCTCAGTGGACAGAGGACAGAGGGGATGGTCCTCCTCTCTCAGCTTGGCCAGGGCAGGGATAAAGATTCTGAAGGTTCAGAYGGGGCAGGAAAGGGCAGGGGCTGCGAAGAGGGCCTGCAACCCAGAAGCAGCTCAGCTCTTTGGTATGGGAAAGGTGGCTCCATGGGACATCCTTGTCACTCTTCTTCCACACTCCGGGGCCCCTTGGCTGTTCGCCTCTGTCGCCAACGCAGCTCTTCCACCTGGCGCTCCAGCCCTCGCACCTTGGCTTCCAGTTGGGCCCCCGAAGCCCGGGTGCCAGTGAGCCGGCTCAGCAAGGCGTAGAGAGTCAGCARGGCCAGGAGTAGCAGGGCCCGGGTGGAGGGGTCAGGCACCGATCTCACCAGGGCCACAAAGCCAGCCAGGAAGATCACAACCTTCAGGCCCCCCAGGATGCGCCCCAGCAAGGCCAGGAGCAAACCGAGGAGCAGAGACAACAGCCAGTAGGTGACCAGAGCTCCTGCTCCCCACAGCAGGAAGGTCTGGACCTGGCTAGGGCTGAGCTTCAGGACCTGGGTAAGGCGGTCACCTGCAAGGAAGAGTCACAGAATCAGCCACCTAATGAAGTGGTAAGGGCAATAAGGGATAAGGACAGGGGGCCAGGCCTCKGAGGACCTCAGTTCCCCTCCCTCTTCCTCAAATGAATAATCTATTCATGAATGCCTTGGGATAGGCGGTGAGTGACGGATTACTCATGCAAATAAATAATCTATTCTCTCTTTTCTGGGTTTGTTTTTTTTCAGTACTGGGAGTTGAACCCAGGGCCTCACACATGTTAGGCAAGCACTCTATCACTAAACTACATCCCTACCCCTTTTTATTTTTTTATTTTGTGTATCACTAAGTTGCCCAGACTGGCCTTGAACTTGCAATCCTCCTGACTCAGCCTCCCCAGTTGCTGGGATCACAGGTATATGCTTTCATACCTGGCTCAGGAGTAATCCACTCTCACAGGCTCAAAGAGACATGGGTTTGAATCTCAGCTATTTCTTACTGGCTGTGGGACCCTAAGTAGACCACTTCCCTTTTTAAGCCTCAATTTCATATATTCTGTTTTTTAAAATTTATATTTATTTATTCTCTATTTATCCATCCATCCATTTTTCAGTACTGGAAAATGAATCCAGAAGCCCTCTACCACTGAGCTACACCCTGGCCCCATTTTTATTTTATTTTGAGACAGAGTCTCACTAAGTTGTTCAGGCTGGCCTTGAACTTGTGATCCTCCTGCCTCAGCCTCCCGAGTTGCTGGGATTATAGGCAACTGACACCACACCAAGGTCTCAGTTTTGTTTGTTTGGGACAATTCTGCCTGCCTCGCTGTTAACTATAAGTGGGAAGCAACATTTGAGCAGCTGCCTGGTCCAGGTACACCTGGCATGTGGTGGTGGTGGTGGTCACTGGTCTGTTCTTATGCTGGGAAGTGTCAAGCAGCTGGGGAACTGTCTAGACCCTGAGGAGACAAACTCTCACCAGCAGGAAGGTCCCTGCGAAGCTCTAGCAGACTAACCAGTTCTCTGTCACTCACCGTCCATCCCCAAGGCATTCAGCAGCTGTGCAGCGATCCCAGACAGGGCAAAGAAGGCCACGGAGATGGCTGATGAGAAGGCCCACACCGTCTGTGTCAGAGTCTGTGGGAAGAGCACGAGGAGAGATGAGTCACAATGAATGGGGCTCCTGTCCTCCAAGCCTGCTCGCCAGGGCCCAGGCAAGGCCTGCAGGAGGGTTTCTGCCCTGTTTCTCAGCCAGTGGCAATGGGCCTGCGGAGGGGCCTTTCCACACCCACCTCCCAGTGAATGGGAATGGACAATGGACCATTCTACCTGACCTGGAAACAGGACCTCTGGAACCTAATTCAACTGATTTGCTGGATGCTTTGGAGGTAGGAGGAGGAGGACATGTGTGTGAATGGGTGGAGGAGCACTGAATCCCTCAGGTAGTTACTTTATAAAACTGGAGTTCTCCGAGCCTCCTAGGAGTCATGAAGGTATATGGAAAAACACTTGTAGGCTGGGTGTGGTGGTGCACACCTGTAACCCCAGCAACTTGGAAGACTGAGGCAGGAGGATCCTAAGTTCAAAGCCAGCCTCAGCCACTTAATGAGGTCCTAAGCAATCCAGTGAGATCCTGTCTCTAAATAAAACATAAAAAGGGCTGGGGATGTGGCTCAGTGGTTAAGTACCCCTGGGTTCGATCCTTGGTACCAAAAAATAAAGATTAAAAAAAAAAAATGTGTAAAAGGCAAGGACGTTTTAATCAAAGAGTCTCTTAGCTATACTGTATTACAGATTTTATAAATAACTGTCTCAGGCCCTCAGTGTGACCTATCAGAAGTGTGCGATGCCATTTGTGGGACACCAATGGGTAGAAAAAAACAGGCCTGGCTTCTGCCTCCAACCAGCCACCCCGCACTTCTGCGAGTGAGGAATGGACTCAGATCTGGATATTTTGCCAGTCCGAGACTCTAGGCCACATTTAGACCAAAGTCAGACTCTAGTTAACCACATTTCCCAGCTTTTCTGGAAGAGGGCAGGAACCAGGAAAAGGTGGGGGGGGGGGGGGCTAAAAGGCCCTAGTGTAGAAACCAATGAGGAAGCAAAAGGTCTGGTGCTTTGTGTGGAATTTGGGGCTCTGCCCCAGGGATCATGACACAGAGGGGATCTGGCACCAAGATGATGTGGCCATGAAGAATGTCTTTTCTCTTCAGAGCCATAACAGGGACTACCCTCCTTACCTCTGAAACCACATGCATCGTCTCTGGCCCCACCCAGGAATCCAGTGTCCCCCGCAGAGATCGGCCTATCTGGGTCAAGAGGTCAGCTGAGGGCTCCTTCTTCTGCTGACCTGGGGGTGCGAAGTCTCGGTGGGACTGGGAGGATGCCGAGGAGAGAAGGAGTAGGACCACTAGGACCAGCCACATGGCTTTAAACAGATATCTGCTCCAGAGGGGACTGCTGCCTGAACCTGCCATTGTCGGGCCTGCCAGGAGAGAGCACAGGGTGACATGAGGGTCAGACCTGGTAGACACACCTACTGTCCTAGCTCTGATCTGCCCCAACATCCTCCCCACCCCTGCAAGCACCCCAACTAAAGCCAGAAGGAGTTGTTCGTTGAGAAGGGAAGAACAGGGATTTGCAACTTAAGCTGGGCACAACTGATGAGTCACGGGTTCTCCTGCGCATTCTTTACCACCGGTATACCAATAAGTCGGCAAGCTTTCAATGCCCGACCGAAGGCTCTCTTTAAGGCTTATTCCAGTTCTAAAAACCCAAAGGCCTGTCTCTGGGTCTTAGGTGCTATAGGCATAAAAGAATTGTAAGACTTCAAGGCTTTGTCCCCAAAAGCTCATATCTACAAAAGCTGATACAAAAAAACAACTTTAAAACAGCAAATAGTAGGATCTGCCACCATATGACGACGTACATGCTCAAGTAGGGACTCAAACAAGAATAAGTCCACATGTGCCACTGGCTCTGCAGGTCCTTCATGTAAGGTGGCCATCATCCTCATGGCCCCTCTTAGTACAGAGAAGGTGAGACTAAGACTGAGAACAAAGCTAAGCCCTTGTTGAAGATCACTGGGCTAAGCAGAAAGGCCAGAATTTGAACTCAGGTTTCTGCTTCCAAACTCCACATTCACTGGGAGCTATGGTGATTCCAACCAAGGCTGCTCAATGGAATCACCTGGGAATGTCACAAAGGACTGATGTCCCAAGCCCAGAGGTTCTGATGTCATTGTCTGGGTATGTCATTGTCTGCATCTACACAGCTGAGAGCCATGCTGAGGATATGGGAAAACAAAACGGTTCCTACCATATTCTCACTCAAAATCAATGTAGAAGAATTTTATGATTACCCATGTGGGTGATTTTTACCCAGACACCAAGCAAGCAACCAATTCTGCAGTGGACACCAAGTGGATGGCCTCTAAATCAAGTCACTTCTGGCTGTCCATCTGGAGACAGTAGCATCACATCCCACAGGCGAGGGCTCAGTCCCAAGACTGCCTCCTCACTCTGGAACACTGGCCCCTCCTTCGTGTGTTGTCCTTTGCCCATTCTAAAGAGAAGCTACACCTACAGGATTGAGATGTTGCCTGCTAAATAATCTTTCTTTAGATTTTCAGAACCCAGAACATCTGGTGATCCTCAGATTACATAGGATTATGTAACTCCCCTCCTTACTCTTTAATTCTGTGCATCAACTAACACAAAGAATGTAAACTGCTGTGGTGCTGAACTTGTGGAAAACTAGTGAGACTGGCTACAGGAACTAGCCCTGGAGGTCGGGGTCCATGAGGACGATTCAGCACAGGTGGGGGCACATCAGGGAGACACCACTCAGCACACAGCCTTTCTGCCTACTGCCCCACACCTCCTCCCTTTTCTATGAAAGCCCTCTCGAATACCCGAGTTCCCCAARATGGAAGTGAGGACCACAGCCCCTGCATGTTCTCAGGGCTGGCCCTTCAACAAACCTGATTTCCTCCCCACCAGCTCTTGTTTCCCAAGTAGTGGCTTTCTCSAGTGGTGAGCAGCCAGACCTGGTCCAGTAACAACTCCAGATACCAATCACAAGCCCCAGGTTGCTTTACCTGTGCTTCAGGTAAATCAGGTTTCCCAAAACCCCCTCCTCAGGAGTAACTCCCCAGCATTCAGGTGATGCTTAGGTTTGCTGGTTTACCATAGGAATATTACAAAGGATACTGATGAACAGCAGATGAAAAGATGAATAGGGCCAGGTTTGGGAGAAGGAGCACGGCTCTTCCCTGTCCTCTCCAAGGGTGCACCACCCTCCAGCAGCCTCCATGTGTGACTAGCAGGAAGCTCTCCAAACCCTGTCCTTTATGGGCTTCCATAGAATTTTCATTACGTAGACATGATTGGCCGTGCCAATGATGTCATTGACCAATGACCATCAACTCAGTCCTTAGCATTCTTCCCCGCAAAGGTTGGGGGCTGTAAGTTCCAATTCTCAGAGTACATGGCTGATTCCCACAGCAATTAGACCCCTATCCTCTGGCTATCTAGGGAATTTGCCCCAAATTGTCTCATTAGCAGAAACTCAGATGTGTTCAAAAGGGTTTGTTATATAACAAAAAGCTGTCTTTCACTTTCATCTTCTGCAGATGTTGCAAGAAGCAAGGCCAAAAGGCCAACTATTTTAACAAAAGATACTGTTATTGCTCGTGTTACTTAGGAAATTATAAATGCTACAGGAACTCTGAGCTGGGAAATGTAGATGAGAACCAAAATTATATATGTGTGTGTGTGTGTGTGTGTAGGATAGATATAGGTATAAAATATCTAAAATATCACAACCGCTGACACAGAATGATCTCAATTCCTTGCACCCCAAACAGGCAGAGGCTTAAAGAGCAACCTTTAAGGGGAGATATTATTAAGAAGCTTGAATTTAGCTGGTCTTGCCATGCGCCACTTCATCTCATTTAATCTCACAACTGCCTATCAGTAGGCATTATTATTATCCCCCAGTGAAGATAAGTGGTCAAGCCAGGATGTGAATCCCAGTGCCTCTGACTCTGGACCCCTCACATGACCACTCTGATCTACTATCTCCAACTTGAATCTCAGATGTGATTTAGAAAGACATGAGCTAAAATAAACTTGGCATCCACCAATTATCTCAGGGAAATTTCAACTAAGGACTCTGTGCTTTGTGCTCTGTCTTAGGATATTGCTATGCATAGACAAATGAGGATTCAACAAGTGCTGACTTATTGAAACAGGTGAGGATCAGCCAAGGAAAATGTTTATAGGTCCAACCTCTATTTGCCACCGTGTTTGAGAAATGTCAAACAGCACAGTCAACCCCCTGGTTCTCCTCCAAGGTCACAAACGAACCTGTAGCTCCAGGGAGTTTCCGTGATTCAGACCTGATGATCAGAGGCTTAGACAAGCCGGGAGGGCAGCAGCAGCCAGGTTTGGAAGTATTTGCAGTTACCAAGGGAGTTGGCCAAAAATCTGGAGCCATCAGATGGAGAGGGAAGAGAAAGGTGTCCTTCCCACTCTTGCTTAGTGGGAAGGAGAAGGCTCCAAAAAAGCCTTCTAAAAATATTACATTCTGGGTAGCTTCTGGCTCAGAAACAGCTGCCCCAACTCCCTCCTGAGGCCTGTAGGGTCAAGCAGGGCTGCAAAACATGCAGTTCATAACAAAAGGCCTTGGGCTGGGAAAGCCTTCTCCTACTCTTTTTTGGCACAAATCAAGAACCAGATGGTTCCTGCCAGCCAGTGGTCGGGATGAGGAAGGCATGGGCCAGTTCCTGAGCTATCTGGGTCACAACCATGTTGGGGACTTAAAGAGCAACGTTGCTATCTTGGGTTGGATCCTATATCCAAGGACCTCCACCAAGAGGAGTCAGATGTCATCTCCTCCTCCCTAGAAGGTCAGGGTGATACGAGCACTTCCTCTCATAGCAGCCTGCTGCGGTTGTGTGCTGGCCTCAACTTCCAAGTGGCCGTCTGCCCCAGTCTGGGGGACCTTGAAATAAACTCTCCAAAATGAGGCCAGCATTGCCCTGCTGGGTGACCTTCTGAAGTATACCAGGAGCCAAATCTAGCAGGACTCTGGAGTATACCATTTGGAGACAATGGGTACAGATGACTCCATTTCTTAAAACTGTTTTCTCTAACAGGATTCCTTCTCAATTTTTCCAGATTAAACCTACCCACTACATTATGCTTCCTCAATGTGGTCCAATCAAATACTTTTAATAAAGAAAGAAGGTTTGATAATCAAGAACTGGAGCAGTCCAGACTGCTCTGACAGGTGGAAGCTTGTCTTACTTCAGACAAACAAAGGCACTCAGCAATAGATAATATTTCACTCTCTCTTACACACACACACATACACACACACACAAATTTTGTGCAATTCTTTTAATTTATAAAGTGCTGTGACTTTACTACCTTATTTATCTTTTACAACAATCTTCTAAGTCATTTTACTCAGATAAGTATGGCTTAGAGATGTCAAGTGACTATCCAAGATCACACAACAGAACGGGGACTTTATTCCAGAAATCAGAACGTCAGCCTTTCCCTTTCACTTGTCCCATGCCTCCACAATTCTGGGTAAGACACCATCCCTGCCCACAAGGAACTTGCGGTTCTGCCAAGTATCAACAAACTCAAAGTGAGACGACATACAGAATTCCTCGAGGAGATCACACACCAGGAGATGACCCACCTGTGCAGCTTATGTGGCCTTACACCAGGAGTTATTGTGAGAAGACAGTTCAAGACAGGCACCTGCAATATGGCTCAGGCAGGGCCAGGAGAACCCAGCKGGGCTGAGGAAACTGCTTTACTTATCATGGCAGTGAGAGAGCACTACATGTTTAGCTGTGGCTTGCTACAGGGGTAGGGTGGGGCGGTTCACACAACCCCTGCCAACGCGCTCCTTCCTCTTGTCTATTCCTTTCATGCTGTTAGTCACTGCAGGGCAGGAAGATGTACTGTACTGCCCTCTGACGGCAGCTACTGGCCCATCACTGCTCATAGCTGCCCCTCTGGTGCAGCTGTTCTCACCTCTCATTGCCCATCAGAACTGCCTGGGAAGCCAGTTAAGTGAGGATGTCTGCCCCACCCAAAGCTACTCACCCAGACTCTCCCRAAGAGCCCAGCCTTTTGCTTTTAAAGCTCCCCAGGGATTCCTGATGCACAACCAGATAGTTGCCACAAATGATCAGCAGCTGAGGGGGGAAAAAAAAACCTACTCCAGGCAAAGCCCCCAAAGTGTAACAGTGTACAAAGGACCTGAGACTTCTATCCCAGGCTCAATTCTGCCACAAACAAGAAGCCACTACCTTTATGCCTGTTACTTAACCTATCAGGTTTCAGTCTCCTCAAATGTAAAGCAGGGTAAAACCAGGTTAAGAGTTGTTGCAATGAGTTAAGACGTTTCTGCAAGCACTTTGTCAAAGCTATACAATGTTGCAGGGCACCAACTGCCAATATAACACCCACTATGTTGTAGCATCCTGCAGTATGTAGCCACCAGCCTCCAAGCACCTCCCAGTCAGGCTTGACATCTAACTTTTCTTGGAATCCCCAGTGCTTAGCACAGAACGATGACTAAGAAAGGCTTGTTAAGTGAATATCAGGGGCCAGCCAAGAAGTGGGGAGGGTAAGACATGAAGAGGTAGGGAGAGGGAGGCTATTTCAACAGTTGATCCAAATATAGTGGTCATCGGAAAAGCACAGCTGAGTTGAAAGAAAGATGCTAAAAGCGGCGAAGACAGCACGGAGGAGAGGGAAGTCAGCGCCCAGGCAGGTTGGGGGCAGCCCCCGCTAAATCCCTGACAGCTGCCACCCAGCAACTGTTTGGAGGCWGGGCAACGACAAAGGGGCAGCTTCCCGGCCGCGCCGCGCCCTCCCCAGGGCCCAGCCTCAGGGAGACAGGGTGTCAGTAGCATGTGCTATTTCGAACAGCGCGTCCCCTTGCCAAGTGCTTCACGGTGGCGTGGGGGCAAGGGATGTGACGTGGCCCAGGAGCTCGGGGCACCCTTAGAGGCCCGAACCAAGGCCGCGGGAGGCCGGGCCATGGAGTGAGGGTCGGGGTGTCGAGCTCAGCACTGGCTGCACCGCCCAATCCCGTAGCCGCACTGCCGCCACCGGACCTCAGAGCAGTGCTCGAACTCTCTGCTCCTGGGAAATGCACGCCTCCGAGGTTACCTAGTAACGACGCCCCCGGTTGCATAGCAACGAGGATCCGGGTCCCCAGTAAGCCTCGTCCGCCGCAGGACGTCCGACCCCTCCCCACTCGGACTGGCAGGCCTCGCGGTTCCGCCCGGATCCCGCCTGCACGGCCGCCGCTTCCCGGTCCTGCGTGCTACCCCTCAGCCCTGATCTCTCGGCTCGCACTCACCGGGCTCCGGCCACCGCTATCCTTCACGTGCGACTTTGCTAAAACGCGCCACCAAAACCGCGCCTCAACTCCCGGGCGGTGGTTTATGGTCTGCGCATGCGCAAGGCGGGAGGCACCCGGAGACGAGGCCCGCCGCGCTCGCTGCCGGAGCGGGCGCCTTGAGCGCATGCGCCCTACCTGCAGCGTTCTTATCCGGCCCCCCGCCCGCCAAGCATTCCCACCTAGAGAAGAATGGGATCGGATGTTGGATGTGGGAACGGAAGTCTCAGGCAGGAAAGGGGAAAAAAGTGACTCTAGGTGGGCTGCGGAGTGGGTTTTGGAAGTGGAGTGCAAGCTGATCCGCCTCGGCAGCTGCTCGGCCTTAACTTGGGCTACAAATGCCCCCTCCTGGGCCTTTRTGGGAAATGTAGTCCGAACGCGGGAGCCTGGTCTTTGGAGAAACTTTCCGCGCTAAAAAGGCACCAAGGGAAGGTGTTAGAGGACAGGTTAGAGGCACAAAAGCTGGGGAGTCGCATCMGCTCTACCAAGAGAGCAGATCTACACCGCAGATGTGCAGATGGCTCCCAAATGTTTGCTTAGAATTTTAGAGAAGAGGACCAAGCCCCACAGCCCATTTCTACCACAGAGGCAGCATTTGAAGGGGATGACCAGAGATGGAGACAGGTGACCCCTTGCTTGCTTTGAGATACTGGTCAGGTCGCTTCGTTTCTCTGGGCCTCCGTTGCTTGTCTTTAAAGAACTTTAAGGTCTTAAAAACACCAAAGTAGGGATACAGTTTCAGTGAAGTTAACACAATGAGCATTTCCCAGATTGTCAGAATGTTTCCTAGAACCACCACCGGCTGCCCTAGAATAGCTCCTCTTTGATGTTAAAAYCCGTTTCTCTAACTCTTCCTTCCTCCAAGCCCTTGAATCACCTCCCAATTCTGTTTTCTCCCCAGACTACACTCTCAGTGGCTCCCAACCTGGCACCAGTCATTTCTTTCCTTCAGATGTTTCGCAAACTCATCCATCTTCGTCTGAGCTCTGATTACTTCCTGCCTCTCAGCTAAGAATCTTTCTTCCCCAAAGGCTCTGCTAGAATTCTGAACCTCACCCTTCAACTTCCCAACAGTCTAGACTTCATAGTTGCTTGTGAGATGGGTTTTGATTCCAATTTCTGGTTGCATCCGAGTGGTAGAAAATATATCCAGCATTTCAGGGTTCTCTCCACCCTTGATCTTAAGGTTGTATACACCTTTTGGGCTGCTAAGTCTTTTTATTTATTTATTTTTGATACTTTGGGTGCTTTACCACTGAGCCTTTAACAGATAGAGGGAAGTTCATCTAATCCTCAGTWTCTGTATTTTATTTTATATTTTCAATGTCTGTATTTTAGTTGGCAACGTTTTTTGAAATACTTTTTTAGTTGTAGATGGACCCAATACGTTTTTTTTTTTATTTTTAAGTGTTGCTGAGGATCGAGCCCAGTGCTTCACACATGCTAGGCAAGTGCTCTACTACTGAGCTACAACCCCAGCCCAAGTTGGCAACTTTTGAGAAACTCACTATCCTGTCTAATCCTTTGTCACTCATCCATATAGGTGCCCACTGAATCTTCCTGGGCAATAGAGCCTCTTCTGGGTTTTTGGCCAGTGTGTCCCCATATTTCTGAAGCAGCAACCACAGCCTTGGCCTGGAGGAGGAAAGCATAGAGCTCCTTTCTCAGGGACCCGCTAATACCTACGCACATGTATCTCTCCTCTCAAAGCTCCTTGTGGACTCCCACAGTCAGCTACCTGTGTTGGGACTCAGAGAAATGCCATCTCAGGCTGGGGATGTAGCTTAGTTATAGAATGCTTGCCTAGCATGAAAGAGATCCTAGATTCAATTCCTACCAAAGAGAGAGAGAGAGAGAGAGAGAGAGAGAGAGAGTAGGGGAGGCAGGAAATAGAAAGTCCAAAGATCCATTTTCAGAATATAGAATTTGTAAGCAAAAATAACCAAAAGGAACAGGTGCACGCCTGTAATCCCAGCGGCTCAGGAAGCTGAGATAGGAGGATCGTGAGTTCAAAGCCAGCCTCAGCAAAAAACGGGGCACTAAACAACTCAATGAGACCCTGTCTCTAAATAAAATACAAAAAATAGGGCTGGGGATGTGGCTCAGTGGTCAAGTGCCCCTGAGTTCAATCCCTGGTACTAAAAAATAAATAAATAAAAATAACCAAGAAAGGAGCAGACCTCAAAAGATCATCAAGCTGTCTTTATTAAGCAGTGGAGAATGGCACATTTTCAGGGGAGAAAGTGGCAACTGGTTGCAAGAGGGGTCTGTTTTCTATAGGTTTGAATAAGAGATAATCATAGCAGATTGTTTAGTGTGACTTAATCATTAGAGACTTGGGCAGTCAGGGAACTAGTTGTATAGGTTCAAAGTCTAAATCAGGAAAAGAGTTGCAAAAGTTCGAAACCCATTGTTACTGGGTTGGAAGTCCAGAGCCAAGAGCCCATTGTTTGCCTTCTTTCTCCCTAGGGTTTGTTATTCCATATCCTTCAGAATGTAGCTATAATCGGGGTGTAAGATCCAATCATAGCCATTTAAAGTACAGCCCTTTCCTTTGCCCTCCCCAGTTTTAAAATTAGCCAATTGCATAGATTGTAACCCCAAGCTCCTCCTATCAGAGCAAGGGGTAGTGCTGCATTTGGATAAAAACAGGAAGATGGCCCACTGAAGTGTACTTGCTTGCCAGACTTTGTTTGGTAGCACACCCTTCTAAAGAGGTAAAGTTTGCCTTGCCAAGTAACTTTTGAGCCCATGCCTGATTTCTTGCAGCACTCTGATATTTCTAACAAAAGGAAAGAAAAACACCCCCAAGAATGGACTTTGGCAAGCTGAGTGCTCTAAATTAAAAATGATTACAAGACCTCAAGGCAGCCTCAGAGCCCAGGTCTCACTGACCTTCTCCAGGCCCTCCCGTCTCTCGCCCCTTCTTCCTGCCGCCACCACCAAAAGCAGGAAGGGGCTTTCTCTGAAGTTCCCTTTTCTGTCTAAAGATAGACCCTCCAAAAGGAACTAAGTTGTCATGAGTCCCCTGCTGGGCATCACATCAACCATGGAAGATCAACTCATAGGGAAGAAGGCAGACTTTGTTTTAGACTATTATTTGTTCTTCTGAGGACTGCCCTGAGACAGCCAAAACAACACTCTACCATGTGATTCCTCCCCAACCCTCTCACCTCTCATGACCACCTTCCCCCTCAGCCCTAAGCCCCTATCCCTTTAGCCCTTTATAAAAGCTTCAGCCATCTGGCCCTTTTGGAGTCAGAGTCTTGTATTTTGTGGGACTCCAGTGCATATGTATCTAATTAAAAAGGATTTTCTTCTACAATTTTGTCTACTATCAGTTTATTTTGTAATTCAGTTATCAGACTTCAGAGGAATAGAGAAAGTTTTTTTTTTCCCCCTCTCTTTTCTATACCCAAATCCTTTCTATTTGCAGACTGACTGGCCTTTGAAACTGAAAGGCCTTGAAAGGGGCTCCCTTTACCCTATTCACTGTCACAGCCATAAGTGTCCCAGACTAGGGACACCTCTGGTTTTGCTCAAGTACAGGGTCTTCCTGGCACACAGTGCCAATAATTAATTACTGAGTATCTTAATCTATTTTATCTTCCTTCTTCCTTCCATCCATCTTTCCTTCCTTCCTTTCCTCCCATGTCCTGGACAATTGATTGAACCTAGGGCTTTGCAAATGCTACTCAAGTACTCTTCCAGTAAGTTAAATTCCCAGCCCTTTTTGTTTTATTCTGAGACAGAGTATCACTAAATTGCCCAGCCTGGCCTTGAACTTGCAATCCTCCCGCCTCAGCCTCCACAGAGGCTGTGATAACAGGTATGGGCTATCATGCCCAATTTCTTCCTTTGTCTTCTATTGCTGAATACAGGGTAATTTATAGAGAAGACGTTTACTTAGCTCACAGTTCTGGAGATTGGGAAGTCCAAGAACATGGCTTTGGTGTCTGGCGAGGGCAACCTCATAACATAGCAGAAGGCATCATACGACAAGAGAGAATAAATGTGCCAGAGAAAGGGAGCTTTTATAACAAAATCATTCCCTCCATAACCCATTAACCCACTAACCCACTGATCCTGAGGACAGTGTTCTCATGACCCTATCACCTCCCAGTGGTCCCACCCCTCACCACTGTTGCACTGAGGACCAAGTTTGCAACACACTGAGGAAATTTCTAGAAATGTAGAAATGTGTTTATCATCCCCTAGCTCAAATGCTATTCTGTTGCCAGGTCATTCAAGTGTAACCACCTCAGGTTCAAGGTCCCGTCTGAACAGATTCATTTTATTTTCCACCACATATCAAATACTTGAGGTGTCTGGCCTGTCAGGCAGCCTGTCAGGCAGCCTGTCAGTCACTCAACCCACAAGAGTTAGAAGTTCCGGCTCTGTGCCAGGTTCTGTGTGATACTACTGGACTCTGAGAGCGAGAGTAACCAGAACAACTGTGGTTTCTGAATCATGAAATTCACAATCTAGCAGAGAACCCGGATACCAAACAGTTATTTGTAAGTAAATAATTAAACAACAACAGCTATTCATAGTGGCTTGGAGAAGAATGACAGGGTGCTGTGGAGATTGGACCTCAGTCAAGAAGAGTCTGAGACGAAAACCTCATCCCATTCAAGATAGGGACTGCAGGAGAAGTGACACCTAAGGTGGGACTGAAGTTAACATTAGAGGGGTTGGCCGGGGAGGGTGATGGCGTGCTCGAGGAATTGAAAAGCCAGAGTGAGCCGGGCATGGTGGCAAATGCTTGTAATCTCAGCAGCTTGGAATCCTGAGGCAGGAGGCTTRCAAGTTCAAGGCCAGTTTGGGCAACTTAGTGGGACCCTGTCTTGAAATAAAAAGGAAAAATAAATATGGCTGGGAATGTAGCTCAGGAGTAGAGCACCCCTGGGTTCAGTCCCAATAGTGGGGCTGAAGAGAAGGTGAGGTGAGGCTGAAGGGCTGGCATGAGCCTGGTAGTACAAGACCTTGGGCAAATTTCCTCTGTCAGAAGCACTTCCCCTTATTTGTGGTCTCAAAACTCTTTCCCCTCATTTAGATATCATCAAAATGTCACCTCCTCAGAGACAGACCC